CTGTGGCCTCAATCCCCAGTGGGGGGCGTGCAGGAGGCAGCCAATCAATGATTCTCTCTCATCGTTGATGTTTCTATCTCTTTCTCCCTCTCCCTCCCTCTCTGAAATCATAAAACTACATTAGAGATCAGCACGATCATGAACACTTGTCATTGCTTTGATGAGGGGACATTAACTTTGACCCCTAATTAAGCAAAATGTTCTCTCTCCCCACCCACCAAAAAAAAATTCTATTCTCATTATACCTGTATTATAAAATATATGTACTCAATTTGTTTTCTCTCTTGTTATAAGTACCTACATAATATTCACAATTTTGCCTTTTGATGCACAAATCCTAAAATACTTACTCTCTAGTTGTTCACAAGAAAAAGTCTGTCAATCCCTAATCAAGATCCATCTCAACAATGCCAGGCTCTCCACAACATTCTATAATAATTATAATGCTAGATTGAGAAATAGATATTGGACCATGTCTTTAAGGTCTCTCTGTGATTCAGCAGTGCATATGGACTAGACAGTTCAGAAGACGCTACTCAGGAAGCATTGAGTGTGAAGAGAACCTGGTACATGCAGGACGGCTCCGGGGAGGTGAAGCCCAGAGAGTGAGAGACCTGCCCGTCCTAACACTCCCGATCCCTGCCCTGCTCCCTCCTCTACTTCACCAGGCTGTCCTGAGGGCTGGCAACTGCACATTCCAGAGTCCTACAATGATGAAAACTACCACCAAGACCCTGGTCCAGGAAAACCTCCCAAAGACGCAAGCCAGAGCCACCTCAACACTAGCTTTGGATCGTCCTCAGACCTGGGAAACTCCAGCTAGTTCCCACCACCTGCTTCGTTTCACAGCCTCCCTGGTCTCCAGGGTTTCCAAGCTGAGGCTGCACATATCTGAAATATTAAACCCTTGAGAAAACCAAGAAAAAAATTCAATTCCAGATCCACAGAGGCTAAAAAATAATGAAACGGGCACCAATCTGAAGACGTTGATGAAATCATCAGAGAAAGTCATACCTTGCTTGGCAGCTGGGCAGCAGCATCTCGTGGTTATGGATCAAAATATATAAAAGAACCAGGAAGGCTTTGGCTCGAATGGAAGTTGAGGGGCTGTCAAGCAAACGGATAATTGTAGAGACAAAATCCTGTGGAAGACATTAACATTTGCTTTAGAAAACAGGAAATAAATAGGGCAGTCAACTCTCAAGGTTAATGGATTATAAAACCAAACAGAAAGCAGGCAATAAAATAATATCAGCTACCATGTCTGCATTCTTAATTTGTGCCAGATGCTATAGTAAATTTTTAGTATGTATGATCTCATTTAAACCTGAAAATACAGCCATAAAAAGTTGACAATATTCTTCCTATTTTGAAAAAGAAAAATGAATCTTGAAAGGTTATGCGATTTGCCCAAATCTACGAAGTTGGATTCAAATCCAGGCCAGTCGGACAGCAAAGCCTGCCTCTTAACCACTCAAAGACACAAGTGCAAGTGTGGCCATGATAACTAGAACTGGCGGCCATCACTGCAGGCAGACAGGAGCCTCTGAGCAAACCTGCACATGCACAGGTCCTAGAGACGTAAAATAAAAACGATACCCAACACATGGCACAAGAGAAAACATATATCCTATGTAATTAAAGGTATAACGCAAAACAGAAGAATAAGTATTACAGTTTTTTTTCCCTTCTAACAAAGAGATTATACATCATTTCAGGTGTCTATTAATATGCAAAAAGAAAACACAGACACACACACAGTTCATGAATGTAAGTAAGCAAGAATTGGAATTGTGTTGTCACCAAGATGGCTGCAGAGCAGGAATACAAATTCCTGAGAGTCCTTCACAGAGGCAGCACCTGGCGGTGACAGCGTGTCCTAGGCAGATGTAAGCAGCTCTGTTTTTTTTGCCATGCCCCGGGCCTTTTACAGTGGGTGCTACATTGTCAGACAGGAAGAATGTACACAGTCAGGTGTATGTTTCTCTGAAGGATGGAGACGTATCTATGTATCTCTACCTATGCATCAGTCTCACCCAGTTCCTGGAAAATAAAAAAAGCCAATTCATTACCATTCTATTCAAAACAGTATCAACACCAAGGTCCCGTGAATAACAGATCTGCTTCCACCTTATGTCAGCCAACTATCCCCCTCTCCAGCACAGACAGTAGAAAGCCCGGTTCCCCACAGTCACCTTCCAGTTCTAATGTAGACTCTGTGGTCCAAGGACCATGATCACAAGTCTGTTTTCCACACCAACACGACCCTACACACACACACACACACACACACACACACACACACACACAAATTCCAAAGCCATTCAAACATCCACTAGCCGAAGACTGAAAGACTACTCCAGATTCTAGGACACTAAAAAGACATGGTAACAGACACTACAATTGAAGATGTGGAGGTTTTGTTCTGCATAAAAGGACATTACAAGGACAATTGCAAAATCTGAATAAGGTCTATAGATTAGCTAATAATGATAAATTAATGTGAACTTGATTTTTAAATCCATGGCTTGTTTGGGCGGAATATTTGGTGAAATAATTGAAGGAAATATCTTCTATAATTGGTAAGAACACACATGTAAGAGATAGAAAGAGAGAAAAACTATAAAGCAAATATGGTAAAATGTTAGCCTTTGGTGAATGTGAGTGAAGGGTATATTGCAATCATTTGTATTACACATCCAACATTAAACTTAGCACCTAATCAAAAGGAGATCGACTCCAAGGATCATCGACCCAATAGCTAAAGTTAGAATTCTGAGCATCTTTGACTTTCTCTTCCTCCTCCATCCCATGTCCAATAGATTCCCAATTCCTGCGAGAACAACACCCCACCATGGATGCCTTATTTCAATGCACCATCTTTCCTGAATTACTGCAGGAGGCTTTATCCATCCTTGCATTCTTCCATCTATTCTATAAGATGCAGCTGCAATGAGATTCTAAGACAGCAAATACGATTATGTTAGTTACCTATAAGTTGACTATTACATTCAACTATTCTCAACAGTTGCTGCGACCCTTGAGATTAAGTCAGTACTAAGATTCTTGCAAATTAAAATAATACACTTGGGATTTTGAATGAAACCAACGAGGCAAACTATAGCAAATACCAGACATAAAGGAAACAGATTCTGAAGAAGACTGCCATTGGGATCTAGGCCTAAAAGCATCTCGTGCCCTAAATAAATCCTCATTTGGCCACTTCAGGAAAACTGAATGGGCAGCACTGACCACCTCCCTACCACTAGTTGCCCAGGGCCCCGTGTTTAATCTTACACAACGGCACCACACTTCTAGAACAGTTACTCTTACACCTGAGGAGGGAAGATTACAGACGGCAGGCAAAGGCTTAATGCCCTGGGTGACTAATCAAACGACCTCAGAGAAGCACAGATGACCTCGGGCCACTTTGGCACGCAACCCACTGTGCACTCAGCGTTGACTGAAACCCACCCTGCCATCCAGCTCAGCACACCTAGAAACCGCATGTGGAAGCAAAACACAGAAGCCGAACCACAGCAGGACGAGATCATGTCCAACATTCAAATGGCACTTGACAGAGATTTCAGAATGGACGTATCTATTGAGCATAAAGATGATGGGACAGAATATTCAAAATGTTAGGAATGGGCCCACACAGGGGGAGCACCCACCACAAACAAAATGTTACCCTTATCATCATTAAGCAAAAGGATGAGCCATCCCTTAAAAGGGGAAATGAGGAGGTGGATCAAAATAGTGATGAGGTAGAACACTTCAGAATTATCTCTTGTAAATCTCAAGCTGTGAAACTGATCTGCTTCAGTCAACTGTCCCAGGAGAAAATCGAGGAGGACAGCCTGGCCATCGCTGATAACAGCCTCCAGGAAAAGCAGTGAGAAATCACGTGCATAACTACACGGACACAATTTTCATCCTGACGGAAATGAAAACCACGCTGATTAAATCTAAGATGGCTTTTGGATTCACTTTCCTTAAAGAAGTTTAGCCAGGTATCTAAGTAAAAAATGTCTCTAGTAGAATATATTTATTAATGAGGACAAGTTAAAAATATAATACGCACTCATGATCTGATTAGCATGCATAAATTACCATCTTTTAAAAGCTTGATTAGCAACCACTGAGTCTATATGCCTAGTGATTTGTGAGAAATAAAACCTTAGCAAACTTAGCGTTCAGATTTTTCAAAATTCTGCAGGCACGAAATTTCATAGTGATCTTCCACAGTGCTTACAAACAACAGAGGTCTGCAGCTTCTGGTTCATTATTAATCACTGGTGTGCTGCTTGGTCCAAATGCTAAACCTGAAGCAAGGCTTCAGTCAAACCAGGCTGCACAGAGAGAGAGAGAGACAGCGGCTCCTGTCAAAATTAATAAGCAAAAAACTTAAAAGGCAGAATCTTCGTCAATGGCACTCAGAAGGAAGCTGTCTGACCGGTGAGCCTGAACAAATTCACCTGTGGAATACAGTAGGGCTTTAAAAAATTCGTGTTATATCATTAAGTGACCCCCCAAAGCAAACCAAGTCCAAAGGATGCATTACTGATGGTCCGGCTACGAAGTCCATTCAAAGTCACAGATGCCAGGAACAAAATGACTGAGGCAGGTGTTCGAATCTATGTAACTTAAGTTGATGTGAGTTTTTTAAGCTGAATTAATTGAAATGCAGCAGAAAGGGATTCCAGAAGTTTCATATGTTTTCGATTTCCTAACATCAAGAATCTGGCACTGAGTTCATAACATAAGCTTTTTGTGTGTATTTTTAAGCCACACCAGTGATTTAATTACAAAGCAGTTATCTAGTTAAGTGTAATATTCACATACTTTCCCCTTCTCTCTATATGCATACACACACACACACACACACGCACACACACACACGTATGTATAGACACAGTTGTATTCATATGTGAATAAACCTCTGTGTGCATATGTCAGTGCAGGTTTAGGACAACATACTATCCATCACTCTTATTCTCATTACCTGGCTTTAACTTATTCAATCAATAGGCAAAGTATGGATCACCAAACAATTTACAATTGATCCCACTTCTGTAAAAAGATTCTAATGGCATGTGTGCATGGCAACAGGAAGGAGGGAATTCAGCGGTTCTCAACCTGTGGGTCACGACCATCGGAAAACACATATAGCATATCAGATATTTACATTATGATTCATAGCAGTAGCAAAATTACAGTTATGAAGTAGCAACGAAAATAATTTTATGGTTGGGGGCCACCACAACATGAGGAACTGTATTAAAGGGTCACGGCTTTAGGAAGGTTGAGAACCACTGGACTAGATGAATGTATGTGTATGTGCACATATACTAGTATATTAGCAACAAGTGTGAATTTGAAAGACATCAAAATTTTTAAAGAGATTAGCTCAGGGAGCTAAGTACTTTATTTTAGTCTTCTCCTACCTCCCAACCTCCTGCCATGTCCCTTCATCCCTGCTGCCTACATACAGCTTTGCTGGCCTTTCTCTCCCCAGATCTCCCTAACACATCCCACACCTCAGGGAAGCCCAACTACCAAGTTCTTATTTGACCAGCTTGTGAAATATCATTTCGAAACTAAATTAATTCATGCCTGTGCTCGGGTGAAAAAAGAAAAACTGCTAAAACTCTCAGCCTCTATTATCACAATTTACACAGTCAAACTACTCGAGTGGTGCTTTTTCTAATACACTGACAACAACATTAATGACTTGGAAAATTTAGTAGCAAAAATTAGATATGCAGACTGTTGGAAAAAATACTTTCTCGGAGCCTCACATCTCTTAGCAAAGTCTAAATCAGACTAATTATAGGCAAGAAGCAGCTTGCTCTCTGTCTGACTTTCACAGACCAAGTTTACTATGCAAACCTGACCATTATTAATAGTAACTATCGAAATTTTAACTTTTAGGAAGAAAATCAAAATTGAAAGTGCTGCATGCAATGCAGAGGAACCACAGGAAACGCCTAAGTGGGTCCATTCACACTCAGCAGTGTCACCTTCACTGTTCTGCAAACCCCCAGTGTGCCAAGCATTCCCTCCCAAAAGCAATCCGTGGTCCCAGGAAGTATAACAACTCTGCACACAGATTCTAAGACACATGAGCACATGAAACAATGGGCAGGTCTGCCCATTGAAATTCTCTCTTTAACGCACTACTTTCCAAATGTATATACAACCACGGTCCACTTTTTCACCTGTTAACACCTCACTGAATTGAACACTAATACTCTAGGACAGGGCTTCTCAAAGCATAACGTTAAAACACGTCACCTATGTTTACACGACCTCAGTAAAATGCCGATTCTGATTCGGTGGGCCTGGGGTGGGGCCTGGAGTGGGGTTTGGGGGGGTTTGGGGGGCCTGGGGTCTGCGTTTCCAACACCCCCCCAGAAGACACCAATGCTGGCCCAGGGACTCTCTTCAGCAAGGACTGGAAAAGACACTTTTTTTAAACTTTTTATTCTTGTATGTGCCCTGACCGGGGTCGAACCCGCAACCTTGCTGTATCCAGACGATGCTCTAACCAACTGAGCTACCCAGCCAGGGCCTAGAGAGGATACTTCGAGGAAGGCTACCCTACAGAGCCTTCTTCAGAGCTCTACAGTTCTGTGATGTGATTTTACAAACGACTGTCCATGGATTAACTGGAAAGCAAAGCAGAAGGGGACTAAGCTAAACACAGGAAGAAGGGGGCTCTCAGGGTGCGTGGCACTGACAGAGAAGGAGACGAGGAAAGGAATAAAAATGAGTCCGAATATAAAGGGGCCCCTCCCTAAGGCAGCCAAAAGAGATGGGGGGAAAAGTGGAGGAAGAAGAGGAGGGGGATGAGGAGGAGGATGAAGAGGACGAGGTGCAGGATGAAGAGGAGGTGGAGGGGGAGAAGGAGAAAGTTGAGGGGGGGCATGAGAAATACTAGTGTATAGAAAGGACATTTTCTAGCTTTTCATTACTGACATGGGCCCAGCAGGCAGAGCCATTTCCATTTTAATCACTAAAAGGCTCTCACAACATCTTCGGATGAGCGGCCTACGGTACACAGGTTTGGCAAAGTTCAAAAAGGTCCCTTGAGATGAAAATTAATCCTACAGAGATGATATTCCTCGTCCACTGAAACTGCGGAAGGAACAGTTTTAAGGTAGGGCGCTAGGCGAAGGGGATGCAAACCTTTTCCTGGATCAGCCTCTGCAGGTGGACCCCACAGGACAGCAGGGCGGTGAACAAGGTGAGGAGGTACTGCTGGACCCTGCAGATGGCGGAGGCCAGGGCGGTGACCACGGTGGTCAGGCCCACCTTCTCAATGACGTTCTGGAAGGCGGAAGGGGAGTGGCGAGTGATCCTGCACAGGGCCTGCGGAGACAGGGGGACCGCGCCTGTCAGGCACTCCAAGGGCAGCAGCCAGGCCTGTGCAGCGTAGAAGGCACTTACCTCGCTCCTTCGTCACTGCTTTTGGCTTCAGTTGGAAATTACCAACACATTTAAAAATAAAACAATAGCCGAAACTGGTTTGGCTCAGTGGATAGAGCGTCGGCCTGCGGACTGAAAGGTCCCAGGTTCGATTCCGGCCAGGGGCATGTACCTTGATTGCGGGCACATTCCCAGTGGGAGGTGTGCAGGAGGCAGCTGATCGATGTTTCTCTCTCATCGATGTTTCTAACTCTCTCTCTCCCTTCCTCTCTGTAAAAAATCAATAAAATATATTTAAAAATAAAAATAAAACAATAATCCAGCTGCTAATGAAAACTAAAGTTGTTTTAAAACATTAGCTATCTAAAAGTAATAGTCATATAAGTTATGGTGAGCTAACTATGATAAACTAATTCATAAGTCTAGATAGGAAAACTTCCCCTTAAGTAATGAACATCATTAAGTGCCCTCTTTTGCAGACACTAAGCTAGGGGCTGGGGAAATAGACACAAAAGTATGTATCTAACATTTATTGTTTAGTATGTGGAGAACACCAAGAACATCTGCAGACTAGTTCATTTGATTCTCCCAACAATAGGTAAGTAAAGTATTATTATTAACCCCATTTCATAGACGGTAAAACTAAGGCATAAAATATTTAAGCCATTTGCCCAAAAACATATAGTTAGTAACTGGCAAAGGTGGAATTCAAACTGAGGTTATCAGACCCCTGGGCTTTTCGTAAATTGCTCATTAACTATTAGAGATAAAGCCTGTAATTAATAAACGAACAGAATGTAGTACGTGTTGGAATAGGAGTGGGCTCAGTAATTGTGCTCAGAAAGGCAGGAAAGGCCATTCAGCCACAGCTACCTCAGCAAGGTGATGCGGAGCCAGTTCCTGCAGGGGAAGGAAGAAATGGACGGCGGGAAAGGAAGGAAGGAGAATTCTAGGCAGAGAGAGAGAATGAGGATTCCCATGGCGATGGGAGATGAAGAGCATTTGTTTGATGCAGCAGACCCTGCTTCGGGGACGGAGGGCAGGCAGAGAGCAGGAAAGAGGAAAACAGGATCCGTCTGTAAAAGCAGGCCCACGCCAAAGAAGGCCTACCAAGCTAGGACCTTCTAGCTGGATGCCGTGAGCCAGCGACTTGAAACCGGTGTGTGGCAAGAATTCTTAGAACATGCATTACCTGACTATTTAGTCCCTTAGATTGTCAAATAAAAGGTGACAATGGCCAACACAACAAGAGCTGGCCGGTGTGAGTGAATCAAAATTGTATCTATTTTTTGTCAGATCGGCAAAAATATATTTTTTAGCGTGCTGCAGAATTTTGGTAATTAGTTTATGTGTGTCATGAGATGAAAAAGGTTGAAAATCGCAGCCATCAGCAAAGGGAAACCTCAAAAGTTTTAAGTGAAAGAGAGGCATGGTCATATTCCGTGTGTCCATGGGAGACTTCAAAGAGAGACATAAACTTGGGCCAGAAATAGTTTTACAAAAACATTCCTTATAATTAATGTCATAACCTCCTTCCTGATTTATATTTAAAATGGATTTATAGCCTTGATTATGAAAAGATCAAGTAAAAGATGAACTGTTAGAAATATTACGATGTCAAAAGAAAGGATGCCAGGCGGGAGGGAGAGAAAAGATAAAGACTTTGAAAAATATTTTCATTTTCTTGAACATCTCAGGAAAAATTTTAATATTTGTTCCATCTCCAAGAATGAACTTCCTTTAGAAGTTATTCCTATTGATGAAATAAGGAAAAAACAAGTGCTGGTTGGCATAAAGTCAATCTCCCACCAGAATGACATGCTTAAAGTGGATGTATTTCTTTTATGCCAAACCACACTTCCAGTCTTTATGAAAATGCTAATGTGACCTATTACAACCAGAAAGGAACAGGTAACACACATAGCTGTCCTCAGGAGTGAGAAACGGAGGTGAGAGGTAGAGAAAAAAAAAAAGGGCACCCGGCCAGTGTGGCTCAGTGATTGAGTGTTGACCTATGAACCAGGTGGTCACGGCTGGATTCCGGTCAGGGCACATGCCTGAGTGGCGTGCTCATGACTAATAGTGGGGACACAAGAGGCAACTGATTAATGATTCTCTCTCATCATTGATGTTTCTCTCTCTCTCTCTCTCCCTCTCCCTTCCTGCCTCTGAAATCAATAAAAACATATAAAAAAATTTTTTTAAAGGATAAGGAAGAGTCTTCAACCTTTTCTGTCTGCACTGTTCAAATTTTTCAAATAAATGCCTATTATTTTCTTAGGATTTTAATTGCATTCCAATGCCATGACTGCATCAGACATTTTTAAAATTACTACAAGGAAATAGCATTTACAGGAAAAGCTTACTTTATTAGTAATGTATACACTTACTACCATTTCTGAAGTTACTGAGCAAACAAATATGTTGAAAAATGAACATCTGCAGAGCACTAATATATACTGTGTTACATGTCACTTAACCTATATAATAAAAGGCTAATATGCAAATCGACCAAAGAGCGGAACGACCGGTCGCTGTGACATGCACTGACCACCAGGGGGCAGATGTTCAATGCAGGAGCTGCCCCCTTGGTGGTCAGTGCACTCCCACAGGGGGAGCGCCGCTCAGCAAGAAACTGGGCTCACGGCTGGCAAGCGCAGCGGTAAAGGCAGGAGCCTCTCCTGCCTCCACAGCAGTGCTAAGGATGTCTGCTGAGGGCTCCGGGACTGCAAGAGGGCGTGGGCTGGACTGGGAGACCCGCCCCCCAAGTGCATGAATTTCGTGCATCGGGCCTCTAGTATCTCAATAAAGCTGAAAAAATAAATCACTGACTCCATTTCAAACTTAAACCAGAAATCTGTCTTCATTTACAGGCAGCCATCTCAGAATGAAATTCCGTGACATAAACTCTACTGTAAACACCTTTCAAGTAACTTTTCAGTCTCTCCTCTTTCTTCCGAGGGAGTCACAGGGGGCTAAGTTGGATGCCATAGTCTGGAAGCTATGAAAGTAGGGTTCTTCACGTCTACAGCCCACACTGTATCTGTTTCCACACAAAAGTAGCAGCGAGTATCTGGAAGCGTGAACAGGAAACATAAATTCACTAAAAACAAATCTGGTTTGGGAAGTGAACGTTTTAAAAATTCACTTATGATAATCCTAAGAAAACTGCTGTTTAGAAAATCAAAACAGAATTGTTTCATTATTTTTCTAATCCAAGGATTTAAGAAAAGAACATTTTCAATGGAGTCCTTAAAGATCATGCTACAGCCAGAACTTCTCAAGCAAATTAAGGGTCTTCCCAACAATGACTTCACTACAGAGAAAAACTGACTTTTTATCGATATAAAACCCCTACCCAATCACAATGGGCACGTTTCGTGATCAGGGACTTCTCAAGACTACTTCTGAGCGTATTCAAAGCAACATAAGGGCGGCTAGAATGGTCTGGTCTTCGGAATGCTGCTCAGAAGCCAAAGGCTCTCCATGAACTGGCCGCTCTGGAGATGAAGCTCTGATACAGGGCTTCTTGGAGGCGTAAGAGCACGTGAGCGCTTGTATTATCTGAATTTTAAAATAAAATCAGATCTCAAGTGGTATGGTTTTCAAGTATTTATTTATTTTAAAATAGAGTTTGAGACGACATTCTAAAACTGGGAACAATAGTTCCAGTTCAAAATTTGCTTCCAAAAGAACATTGCATGACCTTCAGAATTTCTATTCAATAAAAAGCTCTCTGAGAAATGGACTAATTCAAAAGAGAAGGCTGTGTACCTATTAGATATGTGAACAGGATCACTGCCAAAGAAATTTAAGAATCATTCCTTTTTTTGTGCCTTTTGAATGATTTTTGCATGCCATATTAAAACCACCTTGGAAGTTTTTTCAAACTACACACACTCTCCTCCAACCAAGAGATTTGAAAACATAAGAATGGGGGCAGAGAGGGGATAAGAGGACAGAAAAGAAAAAGAGACATTTTTTGTATAATTGGCAAAATGTCAGTGAAAAATTATTTAGCTGAATGCTAAGAACAAAATACCAGAAGCCCAAGATGAAAAATGAAGCTTCATGTGTCAGATGAAGAAAGGGCTAGAAAGTACAAGCCTTTGGTGAGAACAACTGGAAAAACTTAGCCAAGAAAAGAAACCATGCAGATATAAAGATGGATGTGAGAACATGAACCCAATTAAAGCAAGACAGACTTTTTTTAAAGGCCAGGATTAAAATGGATGCCTTAAGATAGAATCCCAAGACGCCTGGAGAAAGTTCACTGGCATACTCCGTGACTAACTCTGACGGCTCCTCCATAATTACTCACATGGTAATTAGGTTTTGTAATTTTGCACTCACATGGCTCCTGAAGCGGGGGAGGAGGAGGAGGATGGGTGTGTGTGTGTGTGTGTGTGTGTGTGATGCTATATATCCTTTGCTTAAGATACTCTGTGAGCAGGATTGCTAGCCCTTTATTTTCAAAATTACATATGGGTATTAAGATAAGAACTAAAAAATACCCGTAAATACCCACAGGATTTAGCAACATGCAAGTCATTACAGACCTCAACGGGATCAGCTTCAGTGACATCTTGAGGACAGATAGCAGACTGGGTGAACAGGAAATGGGGCAGAAAGGAGCGATAATTTGTAATGACAACTCTGTATAAACAAGTATGGTGGAGAAGGAGGATACGCAGCCTGGAGTCCTATGGACACATTTGTGCTTTTGTTTTGGTTTTGTAATGGGGCAAAGAATCCCTGAGTGCTGATTAGAAAGCTCTGGAAGGACAGGTTAGAGATTTAGGAAAGAGCAACAATCACCACTGAGTGCGGTTCCCAAACAGGGCCCGACACACAGCCCTGGAGAAACCCAAGCGGTTTGTCTGACGGGAGAAGAAACGGTTAGAGGCAGCGGGAGGGGAGAGCTGAGGAAGGTGTGGGTGGAAACACACCTCTGATGTGCAGGCTCAAGTGAGGGAATTCCCACTGGATGTCCTCCCTTTCCCCGGGGAGTCATTTCCTGCGGGTGCCGAGGGAAAGGCGGGATTGGAGATAGAAGGAAAGCGGGAAGTTAGGGCGCAGCCACAGTGGGGGGTGCACGAATGAGCAGAGAAAGGCAGTGAGGCTGCCAGGCAATGCTGAGCGGTCAAGAGATCAGTGTCCAACCAGGGGACAGGAACTAATGTCACGAGGAAGGGCTGTATTTCTGCAAAAGACTAGTAAACGGATACAGCCCTGTGAACACGTCTTCAAACATAATTCTCCTTTATACCAAGTTATTATGACCTTGTGCTCGAAGTAGCAGACAACGAATCAAAATACAAAACCCAAAAAACCACAGATACCTGGGGATGAATCCATTTGAACCTCATGGTAAACCCATTTAATATAAAATCCGAGAGAGGGAGCAGGCGGGAACACTAAAAATACACCAAACCAAATCCTGCTTTGGACCGTTTTCCACTATCGCCTCCATATAGTTTTGATCACATCATGGTTCCTCCCCTCCCCCGGGTCCCGACAGGATTTCCTGACAGTGCCAGTGTTGTCCAGCCCCTGCTGTGAAACGTCTACTGGAGGAGAAAATCAAGTCATTGTTCTCACCAACTATTACTCAGAAGTTTCTGTTTCCTACCTATTCAATGACTCTATTTCTCACATAATTTTTGCAAGCTTGGTGTTTAAATATATGCGAACGTATCCCCAAAAGAAGCTCCATCTTACCGATACTGCTGTGATCCTGAGAGAATCGACAGTGGAGTGTCTGAAGAGGTACCATAAGGCGGGTCCGATCTCTCCCGTGACGAAGCCCTGGGCCTGCGCAGAGCAGGTGGTGCAGACGTTCTCGATAATCTTCGCTGCCATGTGGTTCACCACACGCTCCTCCTGCCGGAGAGCAGAGAGCGAGGGGGCGGTGAAAAGGCTGTTACTTAGGATGGGAAACAGACATGTCACTTTTTCATGACCACTGCCAATGAAGGCCTGACACAGGAGGGTGTGAGCTGCCCCTGGATGGGTTAGGTCAGCGGTTCTCTACCTGTGGGTCGCGACCCCTTTGGCGGTCGAACGACCCTTTCACCGGGTCGCCTAAGACCATCCTGCGTATCAGATATTTACATGACGATTCATCACAGTAGCAACATGACAGTTACGAAGTAGCAACGAAAATAATTGTATGGTTGGGTCACAACATGAGGAGTTGTATTTCAAGGGCCAGAAGGTTGAGAACCACTGCTCTAGAGCTTCAAAAAGCTGCAAAAGAAGCTACATTCAACTAAGATAAAAACGTCGACTATAGTGTAGATTTGAGTGGGCAAGATATAAGCATGGGAACCAGTTTAAAGACTTAAGGACTATTGTAGTTGTCCAGGTAAAAGACTATGGCCTGATAAATGCAGACTTAGTAGAGATGGAAATAGGGGATCAATTCAACTTGGTGTTGTCGGAATGGTGAAAAGAAATGAGGAACCAAGGCT